CGTAATGCTTAATGACCTTCTTTAATTAATAAGAAATCCCTCTATGTCCTACATTCTTAATGCAGTGATTTCCCCCGAGGCTGCACAGGTTTGTCATCAACTGTTCAGTTTCCCACTATTGTCTGGGATGCATCTGTTGTGGAGTCAGCTGGTTGATACACAGAATAACTCCCAGTAACAAATTCATCTTCCACTATATTAATCTTTAAATAAGAACTGGCACTATCTCCTGTATTGAATATTTTTTTTAATGTGATGTAACAAGAGGTACTTTCTTGTATTCTAATAAATAATTGCATTTTTCTTCATAGATGTGCTCTTCTACACTCCTAATACCTCACATACCTCTCCACTGAGCATCTCTACAGCCTCAAAAACCATGAAGCTGGCTTTGCACAGGATAGCAGGCACCACGGTGAGCACCTTGACAACAGGTGTCCAGTATTTCGGCTCCAATGATGCCACCTACGACGACCCCTCAGCTGACTCGAGGCTGATCAAGAATGGATTCCACTATGAGAAAACTCACTCTGCTCCCATCAGCAGCTCCTTTCCCGGGATTGTCTCTGGAAGCAAGGAGGTCATTTTCAGCGCCCTCTCTCCCATTTTTCCCACCAATGTCTCAGACTTGCTGCTGGGTAATGCCACCTCTGTGGAGAGCGGAGGAGCGCCACAGTGCGCCGAGAACTTAGCAGACAATATGGAGTGTTTTATGATCCTCACTCCCGGCCAGCAGCTCGCGGTTGCCATCTTGGCACTCACCCTGGGTACATTTACTGTGCTGGAGAACCTCGTGGTGCTGTGTGTGATCCTGCACTCCCAGACCCTTCGATCCCGGCCTTCCTACCACTTCATTGGCAGCTTGGCTGTGGCTGATCTAATAGGAAGCATCATCTTTGTTTACAGTTTCTTGGACTTCCATGTCCTCCACCGAAAGGACAGCCCTAACATTTTCCTCTTCAAGCTGGCTGGGGTTATTGCCTCCTTCACTGCCTCTGTGGGCAGCTTGTTTCTCACTGCAATAGACCGCTACGTCTCCATCCACAGGCCTATGGCGTACAAGCGAATCATCACAAAGACTAAAGCTGTCATTGCATTCAGCATGATGTGGACCATCTCCATCATCATCTCACTGCTGCCGCTGCTGGGCTGGAACTGCAAGCGTCTCGGGACAGTCTGCTCTGACATTTTCCCTCTAATTGACCAGAAGTACCTGATGTTTTGGATTGGGATGACGAGCATTTTGCTCTTATTCATCATCTACGCCTATATGTTCATCCTCTGGAAGTCTCATCACCACGCAGTCCGCATGCTAAGCCGCACCTCTCAGAGAAGTGTGATTGTCTACACCGCAGAGGGGGCTAAAGTGCAGACGGTGAGGCCTGACCAAGCCCGTATGGACCTCCGTCTGGCTAAAACCCTGGTCTTGATCCTGGTGGCCCTCATCATCTGCTGGGGTCCACTCCTAGCCATCATGGTTTACGACCTCTTTGGGAAGGTGAACGACTTCATCAAGACCATTTTTGCCTTTTGCAGCATGCTCTGCCTGCTCAACTCCACCGTGAACCCTGTGATCTACGCCATGAGGAGCAAGGACCTGCGCAGGGCCTTCCTCAACATTTGCCATATGTGCCGGGGAGCAACGCAGACTCTGGACAGCAGCGCTGAGAGTGACTGGAACATCAAGAGCGTGAGAGCCACAGCAGGCAGGGCGGGGACAGATGGAGGAAACTGTGCAAAGACTCGAATTAAAGTAGCCCAGGTTACAGTTTCTGGAGGGACTGGCACTTCTGCTGCAGAGCCGGTCTAATAAAAGACAACTGTGAAGTCAGGATAGTGTAGAATAGCCCCCATCCTCCTAGTGCACTCCTCTGTGACTGTAAAATGTGCCAAAATGACTGACAAACAGAACTGAAAGCAAGTTTTTGTTGTCGTCTTTTAATCTGTAATGTTATAAAACTGGATCCCTGTAGAGTGGAGTGTGATTAGTCTAATGAGGGCTGTACTTATTTCATTATGTTCTCATTTTTGCAAAAAATGAGTTGTCTGACTGACAATGGCAATTTTATGAAGAATAATTCAATAAATATTATAGCTGTATAAGAAAAAGGGCATTTCTCTCCATTGTTACAAAACAAATGCTATGCTTTGTTATCTTTGCTGTTGTCTGATTTTGTTTTTACAGATTTAGCAGTAAAGACAAACTGCATTTGAAGATTTTCACATTACATTATACGGCAATATTGTGGCAGTCATGCAAGGTGAAAATGTGTCCATCCTCATACAAAATAGCAGTTTGGAATAACAGAACATTGCTGTAAGTAAAAGCATTTCATTAATAATTTTCAAGTGACTATTGATGATTTTGTAAGTCTATGATATTGTGAAGTTTGTCAGTACCTTATTTATTTATTTTGAAAAGCAAAGTGTTGAACTATGAATGGCCTTTTGATCAGATCAAAACTATAGCCTGTGGTGTTTTGGGAGTGTTGCTTAGCAGCTTTTTTCCACATCGGCTTACAAAAAAAGAGCATCTTTTGTACAAATCTACACTGCCATATTCCTGTGAAGCATACTGTGTGCCACTGTGTCTCATTCCTGTGTGTAAATGGAAGAATGTGCTCGAAAATGTGAAATTTGTCTATTTTTATCATAACTTTGTCAACATGCCTGGTATCTTTTTCAATAAAATGGTGAAAATCAGCTTATCGGTATCTAAACTTACTGCACACACACGCACAATACGTTTTTTTTTTCCTTTCATTTTCAAAGTCAAAAGTGTATGTCACTATCTGGGGTATTGGAGTGTCACATGTTCTACAAGTAAAGGTGAGTTTTGAGTGTGATTGGCCTTAAAGTAAGACATTTTACTTTTTCAGAAACAAGACAAAAGCTATTAATGTAAATATTTCAGAGTCATGAAAGTGTCATCTTTCCTTTCTTTAACCCCTTGGTACTTTTTTAGGAGTTAGTAGAAGAATAATCTCCTATGTGTCTTTTTGTGTAACACTGCCCTCATGTGGTGATAATTATCTTCACATTTGAACTATATTTGATGCTTTTTGACTGTTCTTCCTTTTAACATTCGTATTTATTTATCACTAGTTGAAATGTCCATTGATGTCAGTAACTTAAATTACTACTTTTTCAACTTTTGCTGTTTAACACCTAGTCAAACAAACAAACAAACAAACAAAATACTGATAGAAAAATGTCAGTTCAACTTAGACTCCAAGTTGCCACATTCATGATGCAATGCTGACAAGTTCCAGTTGTAAATAATGATATTTACAGCTCAGTTCATCAGAATTTGCTGACATCAACAGTTAAATTCTCACTAGTGGCAATCCAATATTACAGATGCAATTTGTAAATTTTAAAAAGTTGAGAAACAGCAACCAACAAATTCTTAAGTGCTGACGTTGCATAGTTTGCCCACCAGATGGTACTCTGCAACTTCCCTGTCGGGAACAAGTGTTTGGAACCTCACAAGGTCGTTAAAATCTGATTTTGTGTGTGTTTGAAAGAGTAAAAAAATAAGCTATGGAATATCAGATTTTTAGATCATCGGATAATGGTATCTGTCGCAATTACATATGGCAATAAAAAACAAATGCACATTAGTCAGACATTGTCAATCATTTAAGCAACACATATACACGTAATCACGTAATCTAAATAATAGCTAATTAGGCAAGCATGTCCCAAAATGATTTGCTGAGAAGTGTGAAATGCATTAGTTGATAGCTGAATTGGGAAATGACGTTTCCACTACTGATAATCCCAAGTCAACATGCTGAAATCCAATTATAGATATCTGTATCAGCATTCCTATTAAGAATGGAATTACTAATATCTGTTGCCTTTAGAGGCATGCTTAGAGCTGTACACATCAGGTGAGTGAAGCTATCTCTACACGCTGAAGAAGAAAGCTCTGCGCGGAGCGCCACAAGGGCCAAAATGAATTGAAAAAAATTCAATAATAAGATCATTAAATAATCGTATAGATGTGATTTTAATTGAAATTGCAAATAAATAATTGATTAAATAATTTAATGAAATGAACTTATGTGTAATTAATTATTTATATATTTGATTGTTAATTCGTTCTCATTTTAATTTATTAATGACAAATGTAATTAATTATTTAATTATGTATTTCTTTAATTCATTTAGGCACTCATGTCCCCCTGTAATATCCTTCATGTTTTTATCCCATTTTTTTAAAAAAAAGGGCCTTTTATTGCTTTGGCACCTCTGCTGTATTTTATTCCTTTTTTTAAGCTAAAAAATGTTCCATCCATTCTCTTCTGCTTGCGGGGGGCTGAAGCCTATCCTACCTACCTCCGGGCAAGAGACAGGGTGCATGCTGAACAGATCACCAGTCTGTCGCAGGGCTAACACAGAGACTCAGACAGACACAGAGAGAATCATTCGTATTCACATTCACACTGATGGCCAGTTTAGAATCACCAGCTAACCTAACCCCACTAACAGTATGTCTTTGGACTGTGGGAGAAAGCCGGTGAGAACGCACGCAAACACGAGGAGAACATGAAAAACCCCACACGGAAATTAGTAATATGATGTTAGAAGGAATGTCCATCATCCTCGGGCAAAGCACAGAGGATCTGTATGTACTGGTTTGACATTTTGCCTTCAGCGTTGTCACTAAAACAGCGGCAGGTTTCATAATAGGCTATAGTAGCTGAGCCTCTGCACTGTTTTCATCAGTTACTCCAATATTAAAACAAACGAGTGTATTCAGCATTAAGAGTAGAAATACAGGATGCGGAGAGAAAAGAATCACAACAAACTGTCAAATGTGAAGTTTATTCCTCAAAGCTAAAATTAAATCAAATCAATTATCAATTAAATTAAATGGGGTTTATGACCTATACTTTTTGACTTTTGCAGCGCTGTCATGTTTTGTCGTTGGTTTACGCTTCATGGTTCACTACATAATCCAGAATTCAATGCGTTTTGAGATTGTTTTTTTTAGACGTGACGTCACTAACCAGAAAAGCCGACAGCGACAACCTCGCATCAAAAACAGGCAGCTAAGTTGTGCTAGCTAGCCCCCCTATCTAACGGCAGACAGTTGGCCCACAGCTGGCTGATCGTCACTTCAACTTTTGAGAAACAAGTTTAACAACAACACGAGCTGGTGAGCGCGGTGAGGCAGGCCAACTTCCCCCCTCCCCAGAAGGTAACATAAAAACAGCTTTATACAAACGTCAACCAGGACACACGCTCACGCCAGCGGCAGCCACAGCTAACGTTAGCTTTGTTTTTTTTTATTATTGGCTAGCAGGAGTAGCTAACGCTAGTTCGCTAGCAGGCATTTAAAGCCGGAGCTGCGCAGTATGCTCGTAGTTTTATCCATCGACAAAGGAAACGGATTTGAACCTAACAATTAGCTAGTTGTGTAAAAAATTAGGCTCGGTTAGTAGCTGTCTAAAATAGTTGATGTCATCTCCTCGTTATTGCCTTGTTTCGGTGTTTTTACGTGCAATCTCTCCCTTTTAACAAACTGAAGTCATGGCGTGTGGAGCCACTTTGAAGAGGACCATGGATTTCGATCCGCTCATGAGTCCTACATCCCCCAAAAGACGAAGATGCATCCCCGTGTCCCCGTCATCCTCATCCCCTAGGAAATATCTCAGCATGGAGCCTTCGCCATTCGGGGAGTCTTCATCAAGACTTAGTGCAGGTAATGCTGGCTAAGTTGGCCTGCTTGTTTACTATCTGGAGGGGGGCAACAGCAACATGTTGAGTCACTCTGTGTCAAAGGTGAAAACATGACAGCTGTTACTAATGGACACCCTGCTTGTCTGTTTACCCCACTAGAACAAATCCTCAACAGCATCAAACAGGAGTACAAACGCATTCAAAAGAGAAAGCATCTAGATGGAGGCTACCAACAGTCAGAGTGCTGCTATTCGCCAGAATCCCCATCCCAGTCGTCTACTATGAATGCTTCCAGCATGGCAGGTGGGTAAAGGCGCAAGGTTAAGCTCAAATAATCATAAAGCCCATTCTACAGTGCGGTTTTAAGGTTTGATTGTTATTTATTTATACAGGAACATCCTCTGGAGGCGTCTCTCCATCTAGAAAAGAACAGCCATTATTCACCCTCAGACAAGTTGGAATGATCTGCGAACGCCTGCTGAAAGAAAGGGAAGAGAAGGTTCGGGAGGAATACGAGGAGACCATGACTTCAAAGTTGGCCGGTTGGTACCCAATGCTAATGTGTTTAAAAAACTGAAACAGCAAATGTTAGCCACATATTTTCCCCAAGTAACAAACAATAGTTGTGAAGTAAAAGGTTTTAACTGGTTGATTTTGATTTCAGAACAATATGACACCTTTGTGAAGTTCACACACGATCAGTTAATGCGACGATTTGGGGAGCAACCTGCAAGCTGTGAGTTCCTATTTATTTTTAATCCCACCTTATTTCCACATTGGATGTAAAGGACAAAGCCTCAGCTTTCACTTCGAACTCTACGATTTTAAATTTAAACTGGCACTTCTGGTTACTTTATTTATATTTCACCTCCCTTCTCTCCAGATGTTTCCTGAGTGTGGCACAGAATTTTTGCAAGACGGCCTTCCCACGCTGCAAGCTATCACGTGATATCTCGAGGAAGAGAAGCGAAAAAAAACTCATCATTGTAAGAGATTAACTTTAGCTAGTTTAAAGGAAACTTTTCTTACTGTGCCATATATCTGTCTTTGGGCAAAGGTTTATATGAAGCTGTTGTCAGTTGTTACCACTCTGTTGTAAGCAACTAGGTGCTTCCTCATGTAAATGGACCCTATTTCTACCAGTGGCCTACGTTCCTCCAGCTGTACGTGTATCTACAGTTATCTCACTTTTGTAATGATTCCCAGCATTCCAGGCTTTGTCACTTGTTTCTGTTTTGTTACATGTAAATACAATAAAGCAGGCATTGAGTTTTACACAAGGTTGGCAGGTCGGTCTGAAAGAATGTGGAAGAAACGCAAGTTTGAACAGAAAGAGTATGTTTGCTGTTTGTTCACTGCTTTTTAAACTGAGCATAAAGTGGGCTAATTTGCTCCCACCCCCTCCCACCACCAGTGTTTTATTTATTGAGTTTTGTTCTGCTGGTATCACTTTGAAACCAATGTACTTATTAAAAACAATAAACATCTTTTAAGAGTTGAAAACTGGTTTGATGCATCAAACTATATCAGGAATAGCTTAATAAATACAAGTAAACGTATGTGATCGAGTGCTGTGATAAACAGCATTGGGACTGCTCTCAATTTAGTGCTTAAATTACTCTCAAACTGTAAATGAAAGATGGAATATGGAAGTGCCTTAAACCTGCAATCTTTCTCACATCCAGTAAGGGGTGACTGCTTTAATTACAGAAGTAAGTTGGATTATATAGAAGTGCATAGGAATAGCATCCCTCAGCTCACTCTATCTGTAACCTCAGTTAAAAACCATAATGCTGCTTTCAAGACTTTATTTAGTACATCATTTTCATTTGAATGAAAATGGTCCAGATCAGAGTTAAACATGAAGATAAAGGATGATGATTTTCAGGGCTAGTCTGCCTTCTCCACCGTAAGTTGTTTTTTTTTTTTAACCACTTGTTAGCAAGTGTTTGCAGACAAACAAAACCTCCACAGGCAACTGTAACTGTTTGAAAAGGGAAAAAAAATCCCTTGGAGGTTTTTGGTACAACTTCTTTACGAGACATTTCTCTCAGCGAGAGTCAGCAGCCTCCATGAACCACTGCCAACTAAATGGACAATGCATATTTTTCCCTAGCAACAAGCTGTTGTATCATGTCTGACATGTTGGTCAACTTTCAAGTAATGTGTGAGAAACCTCAGTATATTACAATGTCTTAATTAGTTTGAGTTGTGCTTCAGTGTAACAGCGTATTGGTGTACCAGTCATTGCAGACAGGACCTACAGCACCTGACATCGGTCTATTATTTAAAGAAGCAGGTGTGATTTGCACGTCTTTTATTAGAGTGAAAAATACGAATCTGAAATTAATTTCCACAGATGTTAAAAAAAATGTTTCTTGTCACAATTGTGGTTAGCAGCCTCCCCAGGTGAGTCGCGCCACATGGTCTGTCTTCTGCTTGGTAGACTTGATGAAGCCCAGAAATTCGAGCTCTGATACGGCGCGGATGAAACGAGCGCTAAAGGACGAGTTAAGGAACAAAAAGTCTTCACTCAAGTTAAAAGTAAATGGCATATTTCAGCAGTCGCGTTTGTGATCTTCTGCTCTTAACTTTGATTATAACTCCAAGTATTTGGGTTGCTTACAAAACTAGAATTACCTCAACTGTCTTATCCAATCATGACACTCAAACAAAGACATAACTGAGGAGTAGCTGCTTTACTGTTGTCTCATTACTCATTTTCACTCACTGAGCAAAACAGACAAACAGCAGCAGCACAAAATGATCTGTGAGAAATACTTTTTTTTCCTGGAAGGATACTGTTTGACTTCATCCACTTTCCCAAAATGTTCAGAATCCGGATCGTTACCCTCAGCAGCCAAAACCACGGTGGAGTACGCCTGAAAATAAACATGTTTTCATTCATGTCAGCGTCCGAGTCATTCTGGGCCAATAATTAATCCTCAGACTGATAATGTGACACGTGGGCCCCTCGGGATCAATAAAGCCTCTCTTACACTGAGAAAAACAAAAGCTTCCAGCTAAAGAAAGTTTATGAAGCAAAGTGGGAAGCTGTGGAAGTTTAACCTTGGTCCATTACAGGTAATGAGTTCACTATTAAATTTCTTAGTTTATAAACTCACTTCCAGCCAGTCGTAGAGGTTGATCAGCCTTCCGCACTCCAAGTGGAGCTTGTAAGCGATACAGATGTCGGGAGCAGCGTTGGACACCGTCCCATCCTCGCTCTTCAGGCTGTCGTTCTAAAAGAAAGTCGAAGTTGTCACGTGTTTTTTGAACGTCGCTGCACATTAGTGGTTGTACACCAAAAGAAGAACTTTCTTCACTTTCACTTCCTCCTGCTTATAAGGGACAAGCTGAAGCAGGTGTACCTGAAGATAGTGGTAAGGATTGCTGAGCGCAGCCTGAATGGAGGTACGAGGTGTGGCATTGAGGTGGCGTCTCACTGTGGCAGATGAACTGTAGTAGCAGACCTCATAAAGAGGCTGTGACTCTGGGGGGAACAGATGGCTCCTGGGTGGAATAACATCATTAGCTGTAGAGTGTTTGCAGTGATGCGAGTTGTATTTGGGGGAACCACAGTCTCATTTGTCTTACTTTACTAAATTGTCAATAAGCTCGAGCGCTTCGTTCCTGAGGTTTTCAAATGGACTCAGTCGCTTGGCTCTCCGAGACTCGTTCATCTCCAGCAGCGTCTGTGAAAACGATAATAGAGTTTAGGCAACAGCAAAACAGCAGTTTTAAAGAGGCGGAGAACCAATCCAGTGAAACAAAAGACAAAAACTACAATTTAAGTGGTCAGTTACCTTCTGCAGCTGGAACAGATCTGTTTTCTTCTGAAGATTTTTTACTGGAGAGGCGATAGAAGCTTCCACAGTTGGAGTAATTTCAGTAGCAGCTGAAATACAAGATAAAAACTTGTACATTTGGAAAGAAGGGACTGGACTCATTTTCTTGCTCCTTTTATGGGGTCACCACAGTGGATCATGAGCCTAGCATCCTCCTCCGTCACACCAGCCCTCTGTTTGTCCGCCTTCACTGCATTCACGAACCTCCTTTTCTCAATACTTTTCCATCAACACTCTCAATTCCATCTGTAGTGCTCTTTCTTGGCATCCAGCCACACTGCTGCTCTGCTGATCATCATCTCTAACCCTAGCCTAGTTTCAAAAACTCTTTCCTCTAGCTTCATGGAATGATTTATCAAGTTTATCCCTCTGCTCATCACCCTTGTTATTGAAAGTTTCTACCAGTACATTTCTCCTCCATTCCTGAGGCTTCCTGTCAATCGCCGAGATTATGTTAAACAGTCTGGTTTAAAACTCCACCGCCTTCTCTGTTATACCATCTCCTAGCGATCTCTTCTTGAATCAAAATCACACAAAATCATATCTTCAACTTACTGTCCAGCTGCTTGAATCTGGCAAGTAGAGCCTCCAGCTGGACGAGAGCATTCTTCATCTTCCTTGACTTGCTGAGCTGCAGTATCTCCACACACTTCTGTAGCAAAGAAACCAACTCGCCTTTTGCCAGCATCCTAAAAGGAAAACACATTAGCACCTCAAGTGGTTATTTTAGGGTCAAAGAGAAAAAACAAACAAACAAACAAAAAAAGACATCCAACAAAGGCACAGCATTCGTTTGTTGTCTATGAATAGCAAGTTGGCCACCAGGAGGCACAATAACCTTCTGATCAACCGTGAATATGCTGCCATCTGGTGGTGAAATATTCCAATCTCATCTGCTCAAGTAGTTTTTTAAATTATTTACTGTTCATTAGTACAAATAATCCATCTTAAAATACTACATGTGCCTAAAATTTAAGTCAGTTTTTAGCAAACTGTTCATGTTACCAACTTTTTACTATGTGCCAGCTAATCACGCTTACTTTACAAGCTTCATGGCTGACTGGTAGTCCTCATTCTCCCATACATTGTTCGCCAGACATATTAAATGGAGCTCCCTGATCTGTAATGCAAATTAATCCACTGTTATGTCAAGGCAGATTAAACAGCAGTACTTTGGTAATAAAGAAGACATAGCTTAGACCTACAGGAGGTCAGAAATAGTGGGCTGCTTAGGCATCAAAACTGTGAACTCTTGCCTGTTTTCCGAGAGGATATCGAGGTAACGATGAGGTCAGAGTGTGGAGACACCTCAGGATGGGATAATAGTTCTTGTGGTATTTGTGGAGATCCTTTATCAGTTGTTGACACACCTCCTAAAAACAGACCAAGCAGGTCTTGTTCAAAAACCTCAGACATTACAGGATCTGAAAACGTGCACGTTCACGTACGCATTCAGCATTTCAGATGATGAGAATGTACCTTTAAGTGAGAGTCATCGGTCATCAGATTGACCTGTTCCTGTGCTTCCTGCTTCTCTACATACCTAGCGAAACACACACATTAAAACAATTCAAAGTCTTGCTTTCACATTTGAAAAAAGGTAAACACAAATACACAAATTAAAAACATGCTAAGTCCCCTACCATCACTTTTTGCAGCTAAATAAGTGCTGCATTTGCACTTTTGACTCACACAGGTGGGATGATTGGAGAAAGAAACAAGTCTGAGTACCTTTTGAACGACGACAGCTGTCTTATCCTGTCCAAGTTGGGTTTGCTGAGCTGTGTGACGTTGAACAGAGCCTGCTTTTTCTTGCAACACAGAACACTGAGAGGCTGAGAGTGAAAGTGCTCGAGCAGAGCCAGCTGCACAAAGACCAAACAGAAACTTTAAACTCACATATTTCTGTATTTGAATTACACAGAAAAGAGGAGGATGACAGACTTGAGGAGACTGTTAGAGGATGCTCCATACCTGCAGTCCCTTAATGACGTTTCTCACTGAGAAATCATGGTAGAGGAAGACGCCGATGAGGACCTGCATCACTTTCCCGTTGAGTTTAAAAGCAATGTGTGACGTCAGGATCAACTGAAATAATAAAAGAAAGAACATTTAACTACTTTTATTTAATTTCTTTACATCCTCCAGGCCACTGATCATCTGCAGTTAGGGTTAGTGTGACAGCTATGGCTCGCTCAAAAAGAAATGTATCCTTTTTGAGGCACTGAAATGGAAAACAGAAACTAATGTTATAAATGTAGGACAATTTATAATAAATGTACCATCTAATTCCTGAAAACCTGCCTCTTTAACCAGAGCCTGCTCGTCTGCAACCTGGTGGTATCAGGAGGTTTAAAATGTAACTTACACTCAGGAAATTGCTTTCAAAAAGAAGATGTTAGATATGTTTAAGTATGCAACAGTCTTAGATATCAGGAAGGTTTTCCCATCTGGAGGCTTGCACATATCAGTGTTTTTATGTTTTTTTTTTATTCTTTGGTCAGGTTGAACTTACCTTGTCAATGACTGTAGCCAGGTGTTGTGTGCATGACAGTGACTGGAAGAGCTCGATGCAGAGCAGGGAGGACACAGAGTGGGGAAGCATGTGCTGGATGGTACTGGGTGATGTAGCGATCCCAAAGATGAATGTCAGTG